TTTCGATGCAATTGTGAACTACAAATAGCGAATTTAAAACAAGTAAAAAAACATTAAGTTCGGCCGGGCCAAACTTTTAATACCCTCTACCTTAGGGAAAAGGAAACATTAGACCCCATTATGACCCACATATACCAATTTTTAGACATATTCATGGGAAAATGTGCCAAAAACATGAAAATACCGAATATCGGGGAAAAAACGTGGACCTAAAATTACAATGATTCGCCAGAAGAGCTAGAACCCATTATGACCTACAAATGCCAATTTTCTGACAAATCCCCAAAGAAATGTGGCAAAAATCATTAAAATATCGAATATCGGGAGGTACCGTTATATGGGAACTATACCAAAACGTGGACCTATACATGCAATGTTTCGACAAAGGAGCTTGAACCCATTATGGCAAACAAATACCAATTTTTAGACAAATCTGTAAAAAAAGTGGCAAAAACAATCAAAATACCGAATATCGGGTATGGGGGCTATACCAAAGCGTGGACTTATACATGCAATGTCTCGTCACACGAACTGGGACCCGTTATGACCTACAAATACCAATTTTCAGACAAATCCGTAAAAAAATGTGGCATAAATCATCAAAATATCGAATATCCGGAGGTGCCGCTATATGGGGCTATATAAAAACGTGGACCTATACATACAATGTTTCGCCAAAGTAGCTAGAACCTCTCATGACAAACGAATTCCAATTTTTAGACAAATCCGCGAAGAAATGTGGCAAATATCATTAAAATACCGAATATCGGGAGGTACCGTTATATGGGAGCTATACCAAAACGTGGACCTATACATGCAATATTTCTCCAAAGGAGCTTGAACCCATTATGGCCAACAAATACCATTTTTAGACAAATCTGTAAAAAAAAGTGGCAAAAACAATCAAAATACCGAATATCGGGAGGTACCGTTATATGGGGACTATACCAAAACGTTGACCGATATATCTCATTTTCAATAGCAAGCCATCCTAGACACAATACAAATTGCTCTTCTAAATTTTGGATCCATACGTAAAATAATGTGGGCTGTATCGTGATTTCAACAGACTGACGGACAGACCCATTAAGTTCTGACCGAACTTTCAGTACGCTCAACCATTAGGTTTTATTAGAAGTTAACAAAATATGTACAATTAAGTGGAACAAATCCACGAAGGATGTGGCTAGAATCATCCAAATATCGAACATCGGAGGATGCAGTTATATGGAAATTGTGGACCAATAGGCACAAAATTTTGACGCAATTATGAACTACAAATAGCGAATTAAATACAAATCCGATACAAAATGTGACCAAAATGGTCACAATACCGAATATTTGGATGTGCCGTTATACGGGGGCTATCGGAAAACGTGTAACTATATATACAATATTAATACGGAGTGGGTACAATCAATTACAAGCTATAAAAAAACTAGAACTTTATATATACCTCTCAAATGAAACCCCTTATATGGGGAGGCTGTACTATATACTATACTAGATATAGTATACATATGCTGTAGTACCGATTCCGAACTTAAAATATGACATTTGAAACAATTCCAGTGAGTGATGGCGCTAAAATCGTAAAAATACAGAATAGCGCCAGTACATTACATTAGGGGGGGGGGGGGGGGGGGGGGCTGTACGTGGACCTGCATAATCAATTTCCTGCCATAGGCTATTGGTACTACAGCCTATGACAGGAAATTGCTTAAGAACTTTAAATACGAAATTTGAAACGATTCCAGTGAATAATTCCGCTAATCATCAAAATACCGAATATAGAAATATGTCGTTATATGGTGGTTATTCGAAGACGTGGACCCACATACGTAATATTTAGTCATAGACTACTATAGTCTACCTACCTACCATGATATGATATGACATGGCCGATTTACGAACTTAACCTGCCTACTGGCAATATACACATGTGTGCTAAATTTTAGCCTTCTATCTCAGTACAAACTACTGTGTCAAATTTCAAAGCTTTATGCCAAATAATATGGGCTGTATAGAGTTTTCAACAGATATACGGACAAACTGACGGACATTGTTTAATCGACTTATGCTGATCATCCATATATTAAATTTATGAAGTCTACGACGAATATTTGGAGGTGTTACAAACGGAATGACAAATACCCTCCTTTCCATGGTGAAGGGTATAATGACAACAACGTTGGATTTTTAGGCCCAAACATTAATTTGTTTTGAACTTGACACTAAAGTATTTTTTTTGAACTTTTTGTTGGGTTCTAAATCTTCTTTAATGAAGTTTGTTTGCAAAGCTTCGAAGTACTTTCATACTGATCGTCAAATCACCCATCTAGGTGTCCCAATTATGGCTTCATGAAACTTAACCACTCGAAAACAAGTGACAGCATTTAACATTTTCCTTCGCGTTGTCTATTTAAGTTCCTATTCAAGCAGAAACCCAAACTGGATTTCTTTTTAAATTGAAATGAAAGAGGACTTTCAAATGGTAAGGTTAAATAAAATACACCACATATAATTCACAGTTGGAGTCTAGGGTTTTAACATAATATGTCCAATCCAATCATTTTCTCGGGAGCAAAACTTGTGAGTTTTTACGGAGCCTACTTTTTAATATTTTGTTTTTTGTGACAGCGCTCCCGACTCACTCCGGTTTCAAATATTAGATTGGGAGCATAATCGCTCAAAATACAGCAAGATTTTTCGTTTTTGCTCCTAATCAAAAACTAGGAAAATATGCTCACTCCATTTGGGGCGACATCGAAAAATTGATTTAGCTTGATTTCTCCTGCACCCAAGAGCTTTCCCTCTTGAATTCGAGTGTGTTTGATTCCTTGTTCAAATTCTTGCAAGAAGCGCATAGCGTTTCTACTCCGTTTGACAAAAGCTGACATAGAAGTTACAGTGGGCATCATTACTAGTTACTGCATCATACATACTAGGACTACTATGATGAAATTCGAGAGCCTTTAATTAATATTAAAAATATTTCAATTATGGTAAGGGTATTATGTCTTCGTGGATTTGTTTGTAACAGGCAAAAAGAAACGAGATAGACTCATAGTTCCTTTTGATGATCTGCATAGAATCACGTTCTGAGTCGATTTATGATCGTCCGTCCGTCTGTCTCTCCGTCCGTGTATTTTTGTAAACAAAGTATAGGTTACATTTTTTGCACGATCAAGATGATATTTTGCACAAGTCATTTGTTTGACCCAAGTACGAACCCTATTGAAATTGGAAATAATCGGTTAAAATGTAGATATAGCTCCCATATATATCTTCGTCCGATGTGCACCAAACATGTAATATTAGCCCCAATAGGATGGAATTTGGCACTTACGACCTAATTGCAAGCATGTCAAATTTGGTGAAATTGGGTTCGAATATAGCTACAGCTCACATTTGGATATAGCTCCTATTTATATCTTTATCCGATTTCAAGTTAATTTTGTACCAAATGGGTAATACCAGCCCGAATTGAAAACGCACAAATGTCTCGGCAAATTTCGTAGAAATCGATTCAGAGAAGGATATTCATCTCATATATTAGTTCCTTTGGAGTTTAAATTATTACTATAATCATAGTTGGTATGCTTTAATTCTCACAAATTTCCCATGAAAACTTTTATTTGTTATGTGAAGCTCTACTAATTACGTAAAGTGGTGTAGGGTATCATGAAATCGGTTTTATAAAAATAAGTTTATAAAAACAACAGAAATGGGTTTAGGCCTAACTATTTGCAACACAAAAACATAACTACGGTATCCCGAACAAAAATGCTGACACTGTACACAAACCTGTAATAGGCAAAACCAACATACATGATAATACTATTTCGATAAACGAATGCATAACAAGTGGAGAGAGTTGAAAATCTTTATAAGTGCGGCCGTAAGATTTAAAAGAAATACTAGAAGAATTTAAGTTTAATTTAATTCTTTGGTTCCTCTTCTATTGAGCTTATTTTAAAATAATTGCTGGCGATGTTCTCCCCAGAAGTTATTTTAAAATAACATCTATGGCATTATTTTTTTGATGGGGTCGTAAACTCAAACAACACAATTTAAACAATTCAATTTTTTTGTGGAAGAGACTAATACCAATTTCCCTTGAAACCCGCTAAAAATTGGAAGGCTTAATAATTTGCCAAATCGAGTAAAATATTGTTAAATATAGGTTAAAAATCCACTTTAAAATTTTTAATTTGTGTGCAAATTCATGGTGTAGGAACCATGAGATAGGTATTTTATCATAGTGCTATCTCAGACTTCATAAATAAATGTATATTTGTATCAGTATAAAATTGTGCTCTCCCTGTTGGAATCTAGATTGAGCCTTCATTCTTTTATTTGGAATATTAAATTCGGCTCTACAAATATTAATTCCTTAGGATCATTTATGTTGAGAATAGGTCCCAAAAGGCAATAACACAATATTGATCAACTATTTGATATCGATCCCCATAAAATGGTACGTCGTGACCTTCGGCATATCGAAGGTCTTTCAAACCTGGAAAATGTAAGCTTTTTACAAACTCCGTCTCATGGCTATGTAGGTTTTATATGATTTTAGTTTATATATCAAACTTAGGACAAGACATCGGAAAATGGACAATATTGGCCAACTTCTTTTGGTATCTCCCTCAAAAAACTTCCAAAAACTGAATAATAATAACTTTGCCATTTCGTTATATCGATATTAAAGCAAGCATAAAAATGAACCTTGTATCTTCTCCAGAAGGTCAAAAATTTTCGAAAATTATGCGTATGAAATATAGGAAAAATATAGTCCACACTCGGCACATGAAAATGTTAACATCAGAATTTGGAAACAATATGTAAAATATTGGCCAACTGCCAAATTGGTAGATTGGCTATTAATATTTGTCCTCCCAAAAAGTAGAACCGCTGTGAATTTATTGTTTATATTTTTTGAAACAATAACTTTCATTCTTACATTTATTTAATAAGACCCTCATATTTTCTTACAGAAATGATGTACTAATGCCAAAAGATATCACCAACAACGCAGATAAGTTGCAGAAATAAATAAATCAAATTGACAACAAACAAAAATGTTATCCACCGAATCAGTGAGTGCCACTAAAACTTGTGATAGGGTTTCACCCATGGACGTAAGTGATGACAATTACAACATTTCCATCGATGGAACAACAACAACTGCAGCAGCAATAACTAGAGTGGAAAATCAAGAAGTAAACGATAATAATGACAACCGAATTGACCTCCCTCCGCAAGAGAATATTGAAACCTTAAAATGTGATAAAACCCTAATACACAATTGCCACGAAATTGATGATAATGCCAGCCACAATGACAATGATAAGGCAGAGAATGTGGAGGAGGAGGAGGAGGAGGAGGAAGAAGAAGATGAAGAGTTCTTCAGTCCAAACAATAACAACAGCATTTCCGAAGCACAAGCAGATAGTTTCGATGATGACATATTTATTGACAGCGAAGAACAGCTGGAGAATGGTGACTGTGGGCTATCCAAATTGTACCTGAACGAGGTGGAAATTGACCGAAATGAAGAGGAGGAGACAATCACTGAGTTGGTCAATGCCACTGGAGCGGATAAATTGATGCAAGTGTAAGTTACCCCTTTAGACATAGAAAGAAAAGTTCATTCCTCTAAAAATGTGCATTCTCTATTCACAGTGAAGAGAACAAAAGTATACGAGTTGCATTCGGAGTTATACTGAGATTGATATTCCCCCTAGCCAACGGAGTTGTCCGAGGTATTAAAGGCATCAGAGATGTGCGCTTCTTAAGAGTATTCCGTAGTATTGCTTCTAGCCGCCAGTCTTTATCTAATTTATTTGCTTTTGCTGCTAATACCATATCCATGAATTTGTCCTCAGTACAAGGTAAGTTTGCGGATCAGATTTAAGCTAATGCAGGACGTGGTGTTATAAGTTGCTACCGTTTTAGTATCACATCGCCTGGAACCAATTTTAAAGTTACTGAAAATTCGGAAATCTCGAGATGGCATCGAAAGTTTGCCCGATTTACCGAATTCCTTACCCAATAGTCCTGAGGGGTTAACTCCCCCAACACCAGATACTCCGTCATCACCGGTTTTCTCACCATTTTTCCGTGAGCCTAGACCTTCCTTGCCAAATTTTCACGCATCATCACGTATACAGATTCCATTTGAAGAACAAATGGCGCCCAAATGTTGTACGATCAATATTTTGGCTGAACCACCACCAGGTCAGCCTATACGGGCTGACATTGTATTCATACATGGTTTGCATGGTTCTTTGGTAAATACTTGGAAGCAGGGTTTGTGGGAAAATGAACGAAAGCCGGTTGAATTCGATCGTCCACCAAAGCCACCAGTACGTCCACCTAAGAGGCCAAGACATTCGCGGAGTACACCTTTACATGCACCGCTGAAACAGAAACGGGCACGTTTTGTCCATCCCGAGCACAAACAGTCATTCTACATTGATTCCATAGACGAATTGGAGGATGCTGAGTAAGTTTGACGTCTTGTGTGACAATCCAGGAACATTTTGTCATAGCGTGCTTTTTCATTTCAGATATTCCTTTGTGTGTGGGGAACCCAAGGACGTGCAGGTTTGTGATGGCTTCGAATATAGCTTCCCCACCTTCCGTTTGCGCATGAACGATAATGGCCGCCTACTGCAAGGCGAAATTAATTCCAAACTCCAAGAAGTTCAAAATTCCTCAGCTGAATCTGAAGACAAAGAAAATTCTGAAGGCACCACCAACAATACAAAGAAAAAGGTTAAATCAACCAAACCTTCACCCAACGATCCAAACTATTCCAAATGCTGGCCAGGCGACTGGTTACCCATCGATTGTCCAGGTGTCCGCGTAATAGCCGTAAACTATACCACCGATCAATATTTGTGGCGTCCGTTGTGGAAGAAGAAGGAGCCACGTTCGAGTCTCACCCAACGGTCTAGAGAAATGGCAGAACTTTTGATACAACATCGTGTCGGTTATGGCCATCCTATTGTTTGGGTAGGTCATTCCAAGGGTGGTCTCTTTATCAAGCAGATTATTGTCGACGCATGGGAAAGTGGTCGTCCGGCAACGGCTCCATTTTGGCACTCTTCAAAGGGAGTGTTCTTCTATTCTGTACCACATCGTGGTTCACATTTGGCCAGCATCAAAGCGCCATTTTTAACGCGTTCTGTTGAGCTAATTGATATTGAAAAGAGTATGTTTGGTGTTTTTATTCGAAAATAAGTAAAGAAATTTAACTTTTATTTCAATTGCAGATAGCAAATATCTTCAGGACTTACATCGCCGTTTTGTTGGTCTTTATCATCTGGGACACTTGAAGATAGAAGTTTTCAGTTTTGTGGAGACTGCATTGACTCTTATGTCGGTTTTATATCTACGGATTGTTGGAGTCGATTCTGCAGGTAAGAATGTGCTTTGCTTTTGTTTATTTGAAAATGTAAAGAGGGGAAAATATTCGAGATTTAGTCAGGATTTTGAATAGGTAATATTGTTTTATAGCGAACAATATGAACAAACTATTCCAATAAATTTTTCGCTGAAAAGGCCGACTGTACTATGTACAGACAAAAGCATTCCCCCAGTTTACTAGGACCGATCGATAACCAACTTAGCTTTACAACTATATTTTCCGAATCTCTCCGAGACAGACCTATGGCGAATGCAATTATAATAAAGGAGAATGAACAAATTCGGAGCAAGGATTACGGTAATAGTCAATACGGAACATAAGACAGGTCGCAGGATACTTTTCTGCCCATTTTTCAAGCCTCAGGTAGATAAGTCTCGGCCCAACATTCCCATTAAGATTCCGTCCAATATCATTTGGAGCATCACTCCTCATAAACTTTTGGGAGCACATACTCAGTGCGAAATATATCTGATATCATGCTACCTTCGCTTAGCCCCGTCAACGCAATGACCTTGCATACTTCTTTAGTTTACAATCCCACTGATCTAGCCACACATCTCGCCTAAGCTCATCGATCAGCCTATTAAGACCCTAGACTTATCACGATGATTTTATAGTCTTGAAGGGTTTTTTCTCAATTCAGATATGCGACTAACAGTTTATAGCGGACGATGACGACAGTAATAGAGTTTCGAAAACCTTTTGTTCTATTCGAATATCAGAAGGGTTGGGCAGTTCTCCGAAGCGTCAGTTGGTGAATGTCCTAACTTTAAGCAAAGATTTACGTTAACAAGAAATAGTTTATTGAAGCGGTGATCTGCTGATAGAGAAATTAATGAAGAAACGAAGGAAAAGGCAGGGGGATAATTAAAGTAATTTTTACAAAACCTGATTACACGATGGCAATGCCAAGCGCACTGCGACCCCCTCATTATATTCGTAGGGTGCATCAATATTCACCTTGCATAACGTGGAACAATCATTTAGCTCTGCCAGCGCTGATCCTCTAATCATTTCATAAGAGAGACTGCCAACATTTTTGGTTACTACTCTTACAGTGCGAAACAGTGGCCGATATCAAAATACAGCCATTAATGAGCCACTAGAGACTAGTTCAAGCTACCTAGAAATATTCTTTACGGAATGAAATAAATGACATCCTAACTCTCTCCTTCACAACAATCTGAACCACAGCATCAGATTTAAATAAATGACATCCTAACTCCCTCCTTCATAAAATCTGAACCACAGTATCAGATTTTACTGTTTCAACCAGACCTTCGAAAATACAAATTCGAGATTTACTTCTTCTTGAATTCCAGGGGGAGAAGTCTTGGGAGCAGAAAAATGTCTCTTGAATAATAGCGAGCATGCATGATATTCCAGAGACCTAGCTAAGTACTACAGTCCTCGGGATTCAGGATGAATTATGCAATATTATCGGACTACAAGCCTACGTCTACAGGAGACCCAATGCGTACTACTTTCAGGGTGTGCAAAGGTATGATTGCACAGAACTTAATAAAAATTCAAGCCAAATATACAAGGATAACAGGAGGCCGTAATAAGTACTTAAGCTACATCTACAAAGATGTCTGAAGTTAAGGCGGCAAAAAACCTTAATAAGTACTCAAGCAGTATCTACAAAAACATATTAGGCTTTTTCTGCAAAAGACCTTAATAAATATTCAAGCAGAGTCTACAAGCATACTAGAATTCTAAATATACTTTTGGGTCCCAAGGACTCTTCTCATTTAGGACTAAGAGACTTGGATAAATGATTTATAGAAGAATGTTCAAATTTAAAATCATATTGATGCTGTCGTCTAGTCGTGAGAATTTATGCCAGCCAGAGGTCAAGACAATATGCAATACGGCATAAGAATTTATAATCTCTATAGGTACTATTTTAGTAAATTTGTGTGGGCAAAATTTTCGAAGAATTTTCGTCGATTGTAAAAATATTACAAATTAACCAAAAAATCAAATCAAAATATTTGAATGAGTGGGAGGAATGTGTTAAAATTTGAATAAATGTATGTATGTTTTTAAATGTAATTCCTATTTTATTTTTATTTTCTTGCAGATCCTGGCATTGGTGACGTCTGTGGCATTCGTTTGGATCATCGGGAAATTTGCAAACCACGCAATCGTGATTGTATTTTGTACAAACAATTGGTTAATATGATTAACAAAGTTTGTTAAACTAATCAACTATCTACTTGTTTTTTTGTTAAATCAACATACAAACAAACATACATACACATATAAATTTTTACACTTTTTAAAAAAGCCATTTGAATTTGTTAGTTTTAGTTTATTTTTAAGGAAACCAACAAAAAAAAAAAACTATTTTTTACAGAAAAAAAAGAAAGAAAATAAAAACATTTCATTACAAATGAGAATTCATTCAGGAAATAATGTACCAAGATTTGTTTATATATAACACGCATTGTGATCAGTTTTATTGTGAAATATTTATGTGATTTGCTGATATTCAATTAAATGTAATTATTTTTCTGTTTCTTTTATTAAGAATAATAATTAAGGTATGCCTATTTAGGGAGCTAATGTAACGTGTTTCAATAATAAAATCTGAAAAAAATGTTTTTGAAAATCTTGTTTAACTTTATGGGGTATTATGTACATGAAAATAATAAAGAATGTGTTACGTTAAGCAAGGGTCTCCACCCATTTCATAAAAAAAACCGTTTAAGGCAGTGTTTTGGTTGCTGACAATTCAAACGTTGATCACGCTTTTTTAAAAAAATTCAAAATACGGTGGTACCGTGTTATTATGAATATATCATTACATGGACCTGTATGCACCATGTATGCATTTATAGCTGGCATATCAAATTGTAAATTTTGAAATTAATATATTATTTATAACTCTTAAAAATTGAAAATTAGAGAGTCAACTTTGATATGTGAAAGGCCCCACCTGTCTTACTTTTATACCCTTCAGCTTGAAAAGGAGAGTATATTAAATTTGTCACTCCGTTTGTAACACCTCTGAGTACTCGTTGAGAACTCCATAAAATATACATAATCATGATCAGCATAACATTCTCAGTCGATTCAATGTCAGTCTGTTGAAATCATGATACAGTCCACATTATTTGACGTAGAGCTTTACAATTTAGCACAATAATTTGTGCTGTGTTTAGAATGGTTGTTATTGAAAATGATACATTGGTCCACGTTTTCGTATAGCCTATATATAACGGCACATCTCGATATTCGGTTTTTCTTGATTTTAATTACATTATTCCACGGGTTTTACCTTTGGCGAATAAACATAGTCTGTATATAATCACTATAGCACCCATATAACAATACCTTCCGATATTCGGTATTTTAATGATTTTTCCTAATTTTTGTCAACGAAATTTTTATAAAATTTTGTATTTAATGTTTATGAAGGGTTCTAACTCTGATATGACAGTAACTGCAAATATTCGGCATTTTTACGATTTATACCAAATTTTCTTTTGGATTCGTTTTAAAACCGGTATTTCTAGTTCATAATGGGTTCTACAACCGGTGACAAAACATTGACCATATTTATGCAAAATTTCCATATAACGATACCCACCGAATTCGGACTTCCATTTTTCCACGCTTTTTTGAATTTAGTATGACCCGCATTAGATAAAAATTGTTGTATGATCCCCATATAACGATTCCACCATCTTTATTGTTTTTTAAAACTTTAACTGCATTCTTCAACAGATAACACTGCTATTTGCAGAGTAAAGTTGAAGACGTTTGAATCCAGAGACTCTTATTTATATAATGCTTATTACCTAATGAAGGAGGTTTTTGAATGTTCGGCCCATTTTCAGCTCTCAAGCGGGCTTTAAATATCAAAGCACTAAGAACATCCATTTCCAAAAAATCGAATAATATAATAATAACGATAATAACTTCAAAATGAATACAATCAAATTGTAACTTAATAGGGGGGTTATAACCCGAAAGAAGATATCAGTTGCTAATTTATTGAAAGGTAGTTCTTTTTACCCAGTTTATAACACTATACGTACTTGGAGGACTTCAATCAATTCATTTATTCATGGAGGTACTTCTGTTAAAGTATACACTTCTCAAGTTCGCTATCAAAACGAGAACGAGACCTTAAATTAAATATTTTAACACTTGATTGACATAACTTGGAGGAAATTCTTAAAATGTATACTGCATTCAAGAAAAAAGTTTACAATACTTAAATATTAATACTTTAATATTTCTATACCCTAGTCATATAGCTACAGAGGGTATTTATCATTTGATACTGTTAAAACGTGCCTCATCGAAATAACGGTTTTAGACCCTTCTACCTAATTTTTGGACCAAATCCGTTTCAGGACGTTGGTGGTCGATGCGGCCATCCGTCCGTCCGTCACCCCTTGGAGCACCTTCCCCACATAGAGTGAATATTTTAAATATTAAATTAAATTTTTTTATAAAATGTAAAATAAGTGTCAGTTTGCTGTCGAATTTCAGACATTTTTTGGAAAGAAGGCTATATTAACTTTGTCATTCCGTTTGTAACATCCTTAAATATTCGTCGTAGACCCCATGAAGTATATATATTCATAATCAGCATAAAATTCTAAGTCGATTTAACGATGTCCGTCTGTCTGTTGAAATCACAATACAGCCCACATTATTTGACGTAGAGCGCCAAAATTTAGCAGAGCAATTTGTATTTTGTCTAGGATGGTTGGTATTGAAAATGAGATATATCGGCCCACGATTAGGTATAGCCCCATATATCGGTACCTCCCGATATGTGGTATTTGCCACATTTTTTCAGTGATTTGTCCAAAAATTGGTATTTGTAGATCATAATGGGTCCTAGTTCGTGTGGCGAAACATTGTAATTATAGATCCACGTTTTGGTATAGTCCCCATATAACTGTACCTTCCGATATTCGGTATTTTAAAGATTTATAATTTTTAGGTATAATTGTAGGTCATAACGGGTCCTAGTTCGTGTGGCGAGACATAGCATATATAGGTCTCCGATTTGGTATAGCTCCCATACAACGGTAACTCCCGATATTCGGTATTTTAATGGTTTTTGCCACATTCCTTGGCGGATTTGTCTAGAAATTGGTATTTGTTGGTCTTAATGGGTTCCAGCTCTTTTGGCGAAACACTGTATGTATAGGTCCACGTTTTTGTATAGCCCCATATAGCCGAATTTCCCGATATACGGTATTTTGATGACTTTTGGCACATTTTCCCATGAATATGTCTAAAATTTGGTATATAGGCTATAATGTTTCCTTTACCCTAAGGTGGAGGGTATTAAAAGTTTGGCCCGGCCGAATTTAATGTTTTTACTTGTTATTAACCTGGTGTGAAAATGGAACATATTGGGTCTCTCCTTGTAGCACCTGCCCCACAAAGGTTCAACATTTGGAATAATTGTAGCTCTTATTAAATGCGAAACAAATCAGCGATTCTTTTCAAACTTGGTTCATCTAAATATTTTTCCCTACCAGAGGTCTGATGTGAATATGGATTTTCTTGTCCCAATCCTTCTGATGCCTCTCTCAAAATTAGCTAACCTGTTTAGGAGGTAGTAGGAGTAGGTTATAACCTTTATTACATGCGGAACAAATTTGCGATTTTCGTCAAACTTCGTGTATCTCAATATTTGTGTTAACCATAGATGTAGTAGCTATTTCGGTGCGCTCTATCTAGTTAAACTTCTATCTAACAATAATTCCTACAGAATTATAAATCAAAGTAGTATGTCAATGTTGGCAACTTTAACTTCTTTTTTATATCAAAATTTTGGTTTTCAAAGTTACCGATTTTTGTCGACAAAACTAAAAGAAGCAAGTTAAAAAGCGGAATACCCTCCACTATTTGGAACGAATTTGGAAATTTTCAAAAAATAGAATTTGTTAAAAATTCTGTTAAACTCTTAAAAATACCGAATATAGCCGTTATATTGGGGTTCATAAGAATATAGCCGTTATATTGGGGTCTACATGGGCATTGTTTGTCATAAGCCGTTACCATATTCAAATTCGAAAATTGTAATAAACTGTGAATAATGTAGCTAAAATCATTAAAAATAGGGAGGTATTGTTATATCGGAGCTATACGAAGACCTGGACCTGCAAAGACAATTTTCTGTCATAGGCTGTAGCATCTATTACGATCTTTAAATACGACATCTCAAGCAATTTCGCTGAGTATTGTACCTAAAATCGTCAAAATACCGAATATGGGGAGGTACTGACATATGGAGCCTATACGAAGACCTGGACCAGCATAGACAATTTTCTGTCATAGGCTGTAGCATCCATTACGAAGTTCAAATATGACATCTCAAACAATTTCGGTGGGTATTGTACCTAAACACGTCAAAATACCGAATTTAGGGAGGTACTGAAATATGGGGCCTATACGAAGACGTGACCTGCATAAACAATTTTCTGTCACAGACTGTAGATTCCATTACGAATTCTAAAAACGTAATTTTAAACAATTCCGGTGAACAATGACGATAAAATCATCAAAATACCGAATATTGGGAGGTACCGTTATATGGGGACTATACGAAGACGTGACCTGCATAGAAAATTTTCTGTCATAGGCTGGAGTATACATTTCGAACTTCAAATACCAAATTTGAAACAATTCCGGTAAATAATGTCGCTAAAATCATCAAATTACCGAATATCGGGGGGTACCGTTATATGGGGGCTATGTGAAGACGTGGACCTGAAAAGACAATTTTCTGTCTTAAGCTGTAGTATCCATTACGAACTTCAAATGCGAAATTTGAAACAATCACGGTAAATAATGTCGCTAAAATCATCAAAATACCGAATATCGGGGGGTACGGTATATGGGGGCTATACGAAGACGTGGACCTACATGGCCCATTTACGAACTTAACATGCCTACTGGAAAAATAAACATGTGTGCAAAATTTTAGCTTTCTATCTCTATTCGTTCGAAAGATAGCGTGATTACAGCAGAGAGACTGATAGACAGACGGACAGAAAGACGGACATCGCTAAATCGACTTAGAATTTTACGCTGATCAAGAATGTATATACTTTTTTGGGTCTGACATGAGTATTTCGAGGAGTTACAAACGGAATGACAAAGTTAATATACTCTCCATAGTATTGTGGAGGGTATAAAAATGAGTTACAGAATCCCACTACAGACCCTAATTCCAGTCGTACTGTACAAAAATGCTCATCTTTTTCACCCCCTTAACCGTCGTTTTTATTAATACCATCCTACGCAATATTTTTTCATAGTATTACCAAAAACGTCCGGTCCATAGCGGACCATACCATATAACGGTACCTCCCAATCATAAAAGTTTAAATTTTTCTGTTGTTGCAAATTATTTGGTAAAAATATTCATTAATGACAAGCATAATTTTCTTTCTTTATCTGAAATAATTTTTCTTCAACCGACACAAATGAGTTCATACTTATCCTAGCAACATGTATACATTCATATTTTAACTTAGATAATCTATATTACAAGCGACATCTAGCGTGCAATAGTATAAATAAATACAATTATTTAGTACAAAATTGATTGTGATATTCATATGGC